TAGGACTTTGGTATCCGAAATGTACTCATTTTGACTGACTTAGTTATTCGGAAGTCGATTGGGTCGGTTGTCAAGTTGATCGGAAAAGCACTAGTGGTACTTGTCAATTTCTCGGTTTTGCTTTGGTTTCATGGTTTAGTAAGAAACAAAACTCCGTAGTCCTATCTACGGCCGAGGCCGAATACATTTCCTCCACAAGTTGTTGTGCTCAAGTGCTATGGATGAAACAAACCCTTAGGGACAATCACCTATCATATGATCATATTCCTGTCATGTGCGATAATATAAGTGCTATAAACTTATCAAAAAATCCTGTTTTACACTCTCGAACGAAGTACATTGAGATAAGACATCACTTTCTAAGAGATCATGTTCAAAATGGCGATATCTCACTTGAATTTGTTGACATCGAAAATCAATTGGCTGATATTTTCAGAAAACCCCTTGCGCTTGATCGTTTCTCAACAATTCGACGAAGCCTAGGTCTTATCGAGCTAAAATGATCTTTAAAAATCTTGCTTTTATCTATGTGTTAAAATGATTTTGTATTTTTAAAGTATCCTATTTATGCTTCAAATCTCACCCCTTGTTAAAAAAAAAATACCGGACGTCTGGTAAGGCAGAAAATTTTCTGCCTTTTGAGATTTCGCGGATGTCGGGTACGCTGTTTCTACAGCCTTTTATAACGATTTTTTCCTTTCTTTTTCATTTCACCATCAAATTGTCTCCCCAACTCACTTCTTCAACTCTCAAATCTACAACTTCATCTCAAATCGATCAAATTACATCTTCAAAACTCACTTTCATCAATCAATTCCATTCCAAAACTAAAATCTCTCGGCCTTTTCTTCATTTTTTGCTTCAAAATTCGAACCCTAGCCTTCCTCTCAACATTTCTGTTAAAAGGTTTGTCAAAATTCATCTTCCAAGTGCGAAATTTACGCATTTGCATATACATTACAACATATCACTCTCAATTTCATATTTCCCATTCTTCACTCAAGCCCTATTTTCGAATTCTCCCTCTTCCATTTCCCTTTTTTTTTTTTTTCGAAAATCCACTAAATTTCTTGAAAATGTCAACTTCTCAAAGCAAAGGCAAGCGACTTAAGCAAACGGCTCGGCGTCCACTTCCATCTCCTTCTCCCTCATCCGACAAAGAAATGGATTTTGAACCCGAGACTTCGCCGACGAATCCTCTTGCAAAGGCACCCATTCTTCTAGGTAAAAACGTCGATCTTGTCTCTTTTTCCTTTGATACCCCCATTTAGGATAGAGGAGTATACCACGACTATGGGTTGGTCTTCGATTTGCACAATTCACGAAAATACATATCCAGATTTAATTCGCACTTTTTACACAAATATGACTATTAATCCTCATTCAGGAGACATTTCTTCTTTTCTTAAAAATGTTCATGTCACGGTTTCCAAACCACTCATTCGTACAATCCTAGAACTTGAACCTTGCAACATCCAAAAATTTGTGCATAAAACCCACCCTACGGTGGAAGGCTATGACCCAACCGACGCGTGTCGTCGCGTAACGGGTAAGGATTTTGAAAACATCACAAAGATTTCAATAAACCAACTTCCTCTCCCGTGCAAAGTTTTACAAAATATCATTGCCAATGTCATTCTACCAAGAAAAGGGTATTGGGATGAAGTAAACTACTTTGATATTTTTTCCTCGACTCTTTCCTTGTTGGACGTCGGGTTGATTTCCCGACTATCGCATTAGGCCTCATAAAACTTATTCGTTCCGTACGCATATTCAAGGCACTCCCTTACGGCATGCTCCTCACTAAAATCTTGCATCATTTTGAGGTCTCTCTTCACGATAAAGCTTTTATTAAACCACAACCCACCGACACCATTAGTTCCAACACATTTAAATGAATGAAAATTATTAAAAAGGATGGACAATGGGTGTCTGAGATAAAGGGGTTCGATTCGATGTCAGGGCCTCTACCCTACCGCTCGACGACGAGGACGTTGATGACGACGACGAGGATGTGCCACCTGCCGACACCTCGAGATCGAGAGCTCCCCGACCCATTGGACTACGACTTGACAACGATCAAGTTTCACTACTACATGAGCGGATGGACTCTCTTGCCACGACTGTCGATGGGATTACCGAGGAGCTTCTTCATGTGCGGGCACAGCAGGACACCATCCTAGTACACCGGCAGCCATGCAGGATCAGATGACTGCGTTCTTTGCCGATATACTTGCTCGATTTCCACATCCTCTTCCAGGTCCCTAGTCATTTCCTTTTCTGTATTCCAAATATTTTAAAATTATGGTTGAACTTTTGATTATGTATTAAACTTTGTCATGCTTATGAAATGCTTATCCATTATGTTTATTTTTACTACTTATTCTTACATGGTTGCATACTTTTTGCTTAGGTCAAAAGGAGGAAGAAATA